GAACAAGAAAGAAGCAGGAATACCGTCAAACAAACACAGAAGATGGGAAAATAAAGTTTTATTTATCAACATATTAAAATTATGAAACACTTTACCGTACCCGAGTTTACTATCAGTGAACACACGCATGCGGTACGGTAACTGAGAGTTTATATACGGTACATGCTGTACAATTATTGAATTATTATATATTTACATGTGTCCACATGCAAGTAAGCGACTTATTAAAAAGACTTATTTATTAATTTATAGATTCTGAAGGAGCACAGCATATAAAAACTTTGTGTAGATGGTTTATGGACAATTAGGAAATAGACATTTTTGCGCATATGAGACTGAATAATGCCTGCAGGCTGCATGCTATTGATGAAGACTTTGTAGGATTTGTAGAGGACAGCTCTTGATATTATAGAATTATTTTTCAATAAATAAACCTATTACACTGTATAAGCGTAGTAATATTATACTGTATTGCGTATAGAAACAGCACATTTGCTATATTCATGACTTGTTACAATATTATTTTGCCAAAGAGGCTGAAATATAAGATTAAGATTTGTATCTGTCTATCTGATGTTTTCCTGCACTTCGTGCGCGCGGGTTAATTTGTGGAAAGTGTTGCAGCGCGTTCAAGTATTTTTCTGACTTGTATTTCGTTCCAGGTATGTTCCTAGCAAATGTGGCAATGACTAAGTTATTTCATTAAGTTGCTTCAATGGATTATACTTTGTAATACATTTTATACACATCCCCACAGTGTATCAGGTTTCATGCCACAATTTGTTACAAAATCTGCATATTGTACGGGTTTTCCCTGCGGTCAAATACAACATTTTCACTTGTACAATTCTACTTTACCTGTCTAATCTAAAATACAAACAGTGCACATTGCTTGTAGACGTAAGAAATTGGCTTTCATCTACTATATTTAATATTTTGACCATATTCACTCATATATTGTCGCGATATTTTATATATTTTCTGGTAAATCCATTGACTGTGGCTGCTCATTTATATATTTATCGCGCTTTCGAGTTTCGTGACTATGGCCATATCGACTGACTGCATTGAAGCAGCTTCTTTTACAATTTGCAGCTTGTTTTTACAATAACGAATTTGGAATAAAAATTGCACCTTGGATCTCATATTGCTCGTTTAATTAAGGTGCACGAAGTCAACTAGTCTCCTTTTCGCTTCGTGCATCTCGTCTCCAGTAAAAGGTATAAAATGAAGTGAAATGCCTTTCTCTGTATCTGTGACATTAGAACAACCGCCTACTACACATATATTCGGCAATTTTTCATTTTCGTGACTGATATTTGCACAATTGCCTCCTCCATGATAGTACATGCAATAGTATTTCTACATCAGTGAGCTAGATAAGTTCCTACTATTACGTCACACGCATTGTTTCGTCCCAGTCTCTTTTGCGCGGTTTTCAGATTTTTCACAAGGCCAAATCGGCAATGTTTAAACAGCAATAACTTTTACACTAAAAGAGCAATTTCGATTCTGTTTTCGAATTTCCGTATATTTTGTATCATAGATTTCGAAAATATAAACTCTCATTTTGTGACAGGGACACTTTAAAGGTTTGACCATACTAAAATACAATATGTATTGAAATTCGCGCTATAGCTACTAGAATTCGCGCAAGTAAAGATAAAGCGAGCGTTCAAAATACCAAAAAGAACTAAGACATTTATTGTATGGTTCTCATTTGCCTAATAGAATAACATTTAGTTCACAATATAATATAAACAAAATATAAACAAGGACAAGTTAAAGGTTTGACAGTTTCACTACACAATGTCGACAATATACCTATAATACATGTATTAAAATTCGCGCAGTAGGAGGTTGGCGCAGTAGCTACTAGTTGGTGCGCCAAACGCTTTGTGGTAGCTGTACTAAAGATAAAGCGTGCCTTCAAAATACCTACAAGAACTAAGACATTTATTATATGGTTCTCATTTGCCTAATACAATAACATTTAGCTCGACGCGAATTTTAACCAGTATCATATTTCATAATATAATGAACAATGTAAACTAGCCAATTCTTTTCACCTACGAAATGTCGACAATATACCTTAATACATGTATTAAAATTCGCGCAGTAGCTACTAGAGTGCGAGCAAGTAGTAAAGCTAAAGCTTGCATTCAAAATACCAAGACATTTATTGCATGGTTCTCATTTGCCTAATACAATAACATTTAGTTCACAATATAATATAAACAAGGAAAAGTCGTTCGATTTGGCTATACTGTCAGTGCTCGTTTTGAACTATGTATATTGATCGATTTCAATAATCGATTTACATATCAGTCTGCTCGATTCGAGTAAGTGTTGCCCGATTTGTATCATTGGTGATTTGGTGTTCGACTTATAACTATTGGACCTATTGAATTTTGACAGTAAAAACGCGCCATATATAATACATGTATTAAAATTCGCGCAGTAGCTACAAGAATTGGCGCAAGTAAAGATAAAGCGTGCCGCCTGCGTGCGTTCAAAATACCACTGGCAATGAACAAGAACTAAGACATTTGTTACGAAATCTACTACAAAATGTCGACAATATAGCATACAGTGTTGGATTTTTCTCATGTGTATAATGTAGCATAACACATGTATTAAAATTCATGCAGTAGCTACTAAAATTCGCGCAGCGCTGGGTGCGCAAAATTGCAAAAAGCCGTTTGTGGTAGCTATAGTAAATATAAAATTTATGCTACAAGGGTCAAGGTAATAAATGGGAAATGAACTAGCTATTTTAAAACTGTAATGTATGATGATTCTTTTGAGATAACAATGAGAAGATGAAGCGAACGAAGAAGAAAAATTCCAGTCAGCGACCAAAAAGGCCGTTTGCCGTGAAGTTTAAATTGCCCTGTTAGTACATTTAAAATGCACGTAGTAGCCTATAATATGTGCGTGGAACGCATATTACATCGTCCTCGACGTTTTGCCCTCACCCTCGACGTTTTACCCTCGCCCTCGACATTTAACCCTCGACACTCGACCAATAGATAAACTCCACACGACATATAGGGACACTCAAGGTTGCATGGTATAGGGTTGAAAAGTTGCCAATGATAAAGTGGTGATTTCTGCCTTCTGCTTTTTGTTGTCAAATTATTGATTTTCTTGATCTACCGCTCAAATTATTGATTTTCTTGATCTCTTATTGATCTACCGCTGAAACTGTTCTATACGAACTCTCTTGCTCACCATTCCCTTGTCTATTACACCATAGCCAATCTCGTTCCCGAGCCTGCGATCCTCAGGAAGGAAACGAAGGCTCTAGGATAATCCGTTGCCGAAAGCCAGGAATTCTGGCTAAGATTGAACTGCACATTCCATATCAACGGCCAATCAGATTCCTCCCTGAAACGGATTATCCCAGAGCCTTCGTTTCCTTCCCAAGGACCGCAGGCTCAGGGAACGAGATTGCACCATAGAGCGCATGTCGTCGTTTTCAGGTCAGTGTGAACGCCTGAGTAGGCGTCTTGTTAAGTTTAATTTCCAAAATTGCTTACTGCCTAATATCTTACAATTCTTCTTATGTTATAAAATCAGAGAAAAACTCGTCTCGTGCTTTTCTGGCGTTACAATACACTCGGGAATGTTGCGAGACCACTCGAAAAGCGCGCCGGCAAAACACTCGGCTAAGCTTCGTGTTCCGAGACACCCTTTTCCCGTGTCCTTTGTGTCGTTTGTGACTCGTTTTCTATTTCTTAAATAGAATTAAAATTCGCCATGTATAAAAAGATGGTATAGGCAATTTTGGCGATGCCATTTTCTAGCTGGGGATTTATCTGAGGTTAAACTTTCAAAAAATTCCTTGAATGTGCATGATTGTAAACACAAATAAAATTACGGCGGTTTGGAGCATTGCGTTTTGAGGTTGCACGCTTGGTATGCTCATTTGACATTTTTTTGTACATTTTTATTGGACATCGATATGATATTTACAAAGTACTGTAGGGATGTGCGTCATCACATTTTGTCTTATCTATACATGTGTCTTTTGACGTTTTGTGCACTAAATTTTTTCAATAGTGAATTTGTTAAAAATAGTAACACAAATGTAGACATAGTATTATATGATATCTGCAAGATAGAAGAACTTTTCTTAAAGGCCCATCAAGTAGTATACATGCATGCACGACTGTCATTCTGGCGTATGAAAATATCTGCTGACGCAACTTTTCCTGTTCATACATGCATGGTTAAATTTGAAATGTGACATCTTTGCATACATTTATCCGAGCGCCAGGATGAGTGTCGTGTACGACTTGTCATACCGTGTAGATGGTCCTCTAAGAAATTAGTTTTAATTAAATTTACAGTTCATACAACAATCAACGTCCTGCAGGCATGACACACGATATATCATGCTCAAGATTAATAGTAATACTACAGTTTGAACACGAATAACTTCAGTAGTATACAAGTCGTCAATCATATTACTTTTTCATAATGATGTTGAACAGAGTCTTATATTAGTTTTCGCGAACAAGTTCCATTTTGTATGTCTTTTGTATTTATTGGAAAGCTATACCAAATTTTGCTTCTGTATAAAAAATTTATCGTAATTTACCAATACTTGATATGTACATTGATGCATGGCGGATGATTTACAGGGCCTTACTGTATATACTATAGTTCTATATACACACTACTATAGGCCTACGTCAGATGCTTCTCAGCAAAGCAGAAAACAGCGTACTATGATTTCGATTTATCTTTCGGCATGCAGTTCTCATATATCATAACAATATACAACGCATTTGCGCAACTATATTGACCCTTGCGTGCTGTATTTGGAAAGATCAAATTCCGAACAAATTGCGTAGATTTTTTATCATGCATGAAACACCTATTTTACTTAATGTAGCTACAAGCTATACGGGTTACGCCGTTACGTATAGATGTAATGGGGAGTTTAAGCTTCACGTTTCTGGGAACGGCAAACGGCAGGTTCGAACTTTCTTGGCAAAATTTTCGTTCAACCTTTTTGTTTGATATTTTCTTTCTTAACGCGAAGCTTAAACACTCTATTGTTTAGTGAAATAGATAATATTTGGTATGTTACATGCATGTACATTTACTTAAGCATTGCATATCAAAATCTGATGGCATGAATGTAGCATTTAACTCAGTGTTTATATAAGACCGGCAGTGTTTATTAAAACTACTTGTCTTGACATGCATTTCACTTATTAAGTCTGTAGTTTAAACAAGTACATATAAGATAAGTGTATTAACAGAAAAATATAAGAAAAATACCGACGCCTATTTTGTTTCTCAGAATCTTTATACGCTTAGAGATCTGGGTCTATCAGTATAGTTTACGCTTGTGTTAATGTCGGGGGTGATGTCGATGCGTATTTCATTGCATCTGTATGTTTTTCCGTTTTCTATGTCACACAAGCTGAGCCCTTTACTGGCGATAGTCAAGGCTGTTTCTGTCGAGATTTCTGTTGGCTGTTTGGAAACAATCTTTGGAACACGATGCAGATCTGACAATCTTCTGTAATGCCAGTACGCTCTGATAAGTGTCTTGATAACGAGTCCAATTTCGTGTGGGTTGTATGCAAACAATACAACGCGAAGAGCGAGGAACATACAACTGGAAACAAATTGAGAAAGTTTAATTCTTCGTTCCGAGTGGATCGATCCATTTGTTAATTCAGGAAACTTCATATGATATATTTCCAATAATGAAGGAATGTGAAACATGATAGCAACCAAACAAATCATGATTTTCACCCACGCCGGATTTGTTAACTTCAATTTTGTACCTGACATCTCAATACCGTCGTAGATATCTATTATCGCTGGGCAATAGTCTTTCACTTCACTAAGCATATTATATCCAGCCATCATTATTTGTAGTGGTAAAAGTAGTGATATTTGTGTTATGCTACTTGAAAATGCGACATAGGTTGAATAGCTATATACGGCCATATATCCATCGTTGACTGTATAGTAAATGAGCAATGTGAAATGGAACAACAGCATGAAATGCCCCATTCTGCCGGACCCGAACATGCCGGACCCAAACGTGTTACCGACGACTTTTTTCGCCTGAATTTGTGTAAAATATGCAGCTGGTACTAACAGAATAATCGCATATATTATTAATGGAGGAACTGTGTTCATCAAAAATTCCATCGTAACAAAACGGTAGAATTGCGTCAGGGCAATACCAATGTTGACGAAGAATCCGGGTAAGAATGCAAAGAAAAAGATAGTAGCAATTAAACTATATTTCGTCGACATTATTCCCTCTGTAGCCTTTGTATACTGTGCTTCAGCTATGTTGTCTTTATTATTATTATTATTATTTGCGCATTTTATATCGTTTTCCATGACGTCATTTTAGGGACTTTCCCAGTTCCGAATCATGCGTCAGGGCACAGACGCTGATTGGTCAAATTGTGTCGCGTGTAGAGTTTCTCAGTTTATTCTACCAGTAATTAAAAGCCCAACCTCGTACTCAGGGTCCCCGTGTTTAAAGGTTCTGGTGCCTCCCAACACGTGCACCAGAACCTTTAAACACGGGGACCCTGGGTACGAGGTTGAGTAGCCTGGTTCGCATATGCCTGTGGTATGCCTGCGTTATCATGCTGCAGTTGATCAACACCCGCCTTAATTAATTTACCTTGCCGTACAAGCACAACAAAATTCATGATCAACACCCGTCAAAAATATTCGGCGTTATATTTGTAGTTATGTTGGTTTATTAAACGTCCGCTGGGGGAGTTGGATTTTACATTGCTAATAAACTAGAATTCAATAGACGACGTGACTTAGAGTTAATAGCTGATGGTGTTGAATCTTGTTGGATTGAAATCACCCGCAAAAGGGAAAAAAATATTGTAATCGGGTGCATTTATCGTCACCCTTCTCATGATCGTGCTCAATTTTCGGATTGACTTTATTGACTTTATTAAAAACGGTACTATTTCACCAAGATATTTACAAAATTTAAGACGGGTGATCTTCCAATAGGCCGTATATAGCTATACTAATTACACATATACTACAGTATCTAATAATAATAACTAAATTACACACAAATTACACACTTACAGTTAGACTATTTTTAAATGTAGAGATACTTGTTTTAGCTTTTATGTCAGCAGACAGATTATTCCAAGTCTCAGCTCCTCGATAGGCGAAAGACTTTTTCATAAAATTAGTTTTAGGTTTAGGTAATGCAAAATTGAATTCGCTCTGTCTTGTATTGTAATTATGTATTTCATTTGAGGTGATGAAAAGTTCCGTTAAGCAATTTGGTAACATGTTATGTTTGGCTTTGAACATTAGGACGGCTAAATGATGTTTTCTTCTAGTCACGAGATTTGGAAAACCGACCTTGTTCAAAACATCGATTGTACGTGTATCATAGTTTTCACGAGTTATTATTCGAAATGCTCTATTTTGAAGCTTCTGGAGTTTATCAGATAGTACTTTACCCAGACAACCCCAAATCTGTGAGCAATAGTCGAAATGTGGTTGAATTATTGATAAATAAATTTTGATCAGTGTTTGGTAATCTAGAATGTCTCTCAATCTTTTAAGGATACTGAGACCTGAATTAACCTTTTTTGTAATTTGATCAACTTGAGCATTCCATGAGAGTGTTTCGTCAATCATTAAGCTGAGTGATTTGGTCGTTTTGACTCTATTAATTTCTCTGTCTTTTATGAATATATTAGGCGTTATGTTAATATGATTGACTCTTCTATTACTACCTATTATCATGTATTCTGTCTTCGTTTTGTTTAAAGTTAGTTTATTTGCCGACAACCAAACTGAAACGTTTTCTAGATCTTGATTAAGTTCCTCAGCAATTGTATTAACATCATAACCTGCCGTTTCAATTTGGGTATCGTCGGCAAACATATTGACTTTAGTGTGTTCCAGACAATTAGGTAGGTCATTTATGTAAATTAGGAACAAGAGTGGACCAAGAGCCGAACCTTGTGGTATACCCGTTGTCACACATAGAGGATCAGATAAATGGGCATTCACTTGGCAATATTGTATTCGACCTGTTAAATAGGAGTTGAGCCAGCGTAATGCCGACCCCCTTATGCCATAGATTGCCAACTTACTAAGAAGGATGTCGTGATTAACAGTATCGAATGCTTTTTTTAAATCAAGAAATATCACACCATTAAGTTGGCCAATGTCCATATTCTGATACCATCTATTTGTGATATCGAGCAACGCAGTTAGAGTTGAATGGTTCGGCCAAAAGCCGTGTTGGGAATTTGCTAGTAGATTTTCCTTAATCAAATATTCATAGATCTGGTTGTGTATTAGCTTTTCCATGATTCTTGCAACAATTGAAATAACGGATATAGGTCTATAATTGGACATGCAAAATTTTTCCCCAGATTTATAAATTGGTGTAACCCTCGCAACTTTCTAGTCAGATGGAAATATGCCAGTGCGGATTGATTGATTAAAAATTAAAGTAAGTGATGGAGCAATAGATGGTGCTGCAATTTTTAAAACTTTAGCCGAAATTTGATCCAGACCGGATGCCTTGGATATAGTTAAGTTACAAAGCAATCTCAATATTACAGTCTCTGATACCTCTTTAAAGTGCGATAAAGTGTCAGTTGGACATTGAAAATTGGTAAAATATCTGTCGGGAGTTGACGTTGATAAGGGTATATCATTAGATAAATTATCCCCTAATTCAATGAAATATTTGTTAAGCTGATTTGGGATATCCGCTTGATCAATAATTTCGTTATTTTCATTTTTAAGCTGTAGTACTTTATTGGCTTTTTTTGACTTGTTAATCACCTCATTGATTATTTTCCATGTTTTCTTAATATCACCTGAATTATTATGTATCTTTTCTTGATAGTGTTGACGCATTGTACTTTCAATCAATCTATATGATTTAATCAATCTATATCTTGATATGCTCAAAGACACGATGATTAAATTAAACAATAAGGGTCGAGAAGTAATCATATTAGGGGACATAAATATAGATTTTTTAAAACACAATAGCGACAACCAAACATCTGAATACCTTGATATGCTGCTTGACCAAGGTCTTATGCCTTTAATTACCAAGGCTACCCGTATCACGCACCATACCTCTACCCTTATAGACCATATCTATACAAATACGCCTCAAAAGGTTCTGAGAGCCGGAATATGCTTAGCAGATATTTCAGACCACCTCCCTGTGTTTTGCACAATTTCTCATAAACTTCCTATCAACAAGGATACCCATTTTTATCGAGATTTCAAAAATTTTGATAGTGATCTATTCTTAAATGATATCAGAAATATAAATTTTAATATCTTTATTAAAAGTGATGTCAACAAAAGCATGCATGACATAATAAAAACACTTCAGGGAATATCTGACAAACATGCACCGTTTTGTAAAGTATCTAATAAAAAAAAGAAACAATTAAACAAACCATGGATATCAAACGCTATCCTTAAATCAATTAAAAGAAAACAAAGACTCTTTAAAAACCATTTTCTAAGTCATGATCCGGAAAAAATAAAACAATACAAAAAATACAATAATACACTAAATAAGATTAAAGAAGTAGCTAAAAAAAATTATTATGCAACGCAATTCAACATAAACAGTCAAAATTTAAAGGCAACATGGAAGTTGATTGGCATGATAATTAACAGGAAAAGAACAAGTTCGCAAACAATAACTAAATTATTATATAAGAACAAGTCTTATACGGATAAAGCAAATATCGCTCACCAATTAAATACTCATTATATAAACATCGGCCATGATCTAGCTGAGAAACTCCTAAAAAGTCCTATTAATCCTAGAAATTACATTAATCGAACTTAATTTTCAAGATAGTTTCTGGTTTCGCGCTATTTATACACATGAAGTGCATGATGTTATTATGGAATTAAAGCTTAATAAATCGTCAATTGGAATACCTCAAAAATGTATAAAATTGGCATGCGAATATATTAGCGAAACACTGACGTCAATATTTAACCAATGCTTGCTTCAAGGTATTGTCCCTGATATTTTAAAAATATCTAAAGTAACACCTGTTGATAAAGGCGGAGAGATCACTGACCCTGCAAATTTTCGTCCAATATCAACGCTATCGACTATAGCACAAATATTTGAAAAATTAATATATAAACAACTTATCCGATATATTGAAAAGAAAGATATTCTTTTTCAATTTCAATTTGGTTTTCGGAAAGGTCGTTCTACTGCCCAAGCAATAACCGAAATTACCGAAAACCTTAGAAAAGCCATAGACAATAAATTGTATATTTGTGGAGCCGTGTTTCTTGATTTTTCCAAAGCTTTTGACACTGTAAATCATGAGATACTCATCACTAAGTTAGAATCATATGGAATTCGGGGACTTCCTTTGCAATTGTTCAATAGTTATCTTTCAAATTAAATCGCCAACAATATGTAAAACTAGGGGAACATGAATCTCCAAAGCAAACAATGATTTGTGGAATCCCTCAAGGTAGCACATTGGGACCACTACTATTTTTAATTTACATAAATGACTTACCAAATTGTTCTGAAAAACTGGAATTTAAGATATTTGCGGATGATACAAATGTATTTGCTTCTGCAAGTGACTTAAAATCACTAGAAATCCTTATGAATTCGGAATTAGAAAAGATCAAAGAATGGTGTGACGTCAATAAACTATCAATAAACATGTCCAAAACGAATTTTATGATAATTAAGTCACCAAAGAAAAAAGACATGAGCATTGATATACACATTAAGACAAAGGAAGGATAATGCCACTCATTGGACAGGAAAGATCATATCAAATACCTAGGGGTTATGATTGATACTTCGCTATCATGGAAATATCACGTTTCATACATTTGTTCTCGAATATCTCGAAACATTGGAATTCTCTCCAAATTGAGGCACTATCTTTCCATTAAACAGCTCCGACAACTATACATTACAATCTTATATACCCTTTTATATCGTATTCAATTTTAGCTTGGGGAAGCGCATATAAATGTCATATTAACAAAGTACAAATAAAACAAAATAAAGTTGTAAGAATAATCTTTAATGCAGTGAATCATGGAAAACACCCTGAAAGCGCTCTCCCCTTGCTAAATCTTCTAGATATTTTAACAGTAAATAATGTCTACTCCCTACATGCCCTTAAATTTATTCATCTATGGCATAAAGGACTTTTGCCAAATTTATTTAATGCATTTTTTCAATACGCAAGCAATATTCACAATTACAATACTAGATATGCGTCTAAACAAAATCTGTATAAACCACGTGTGAAATCAAATACCAGAAAACAGATGATCTCTTTCATAGTAATTGATCTCTGGAAAAAAATCCCTGCTCAGCTAAAGGATCTTAATATATTTTCCTTTTCCAAAAAGTTGAAACATTATTTACTGACACAACAATATCTTGCAAGAAATAATTGATTCTACTTATTCATGATATACCTAAGTGTAATAATAATATAAATGATAAATCTTCCTTGTGGAACCTAATATATTAAATAGTGTGATTTTTCTTTCTTTTGGATTTTCTTACCTCTTCTTCTAAATAATATATTAACAGTAACTGGAGGCTAACTCGAAAACTTCATAGTTTATTTAGCTTTCAGGCTCTAAAACTATAATTACGATATATTTATTAAATTTCTTAAAAAAAAAATGTGACCTTTATAATTGTGTATGTATTTGTAATTTATTTTCCATGTAAAATTATTGAGCAAATTAAAAAACTTGAAAACTTGAAACTAGTAATTTCCGTATATACAGTGTGTATCAAAAAACGTATAGCCTTTCAAATTCAAATTAACGATAATTATAATTAATATAAGTGATCAATTATAAGTTTTACTTCATTTTAATGCTGCTTGTACTGTACAGGGTTTCCAAAAAAACCGAAAACTATTGAAATAACGTATTATTAGAATTTGAATGCATCCGCACTCTGCTGAACCCAAACGTGCATCAAAGCTTGACGTTAGTAAATTTTATGCATAAAGAAACCGTTTAAGA